CCTCTACTCTCTCTAGCAACACTCCGTCTGTGACATCCGGCGTCCTTTGCCGTAATGGGTTAAGGGCACCCGAAAAAATCGCTCGCAAATCCTGTATGGCGTTGGCCAAGCCGAACCGAGTTTTAATAGTTGCTTATATGTGGCATTACTTAGCCGGCAAGAGTATGATCATCTGGGTGCAATTCATAATGAGGCATTCAAAAGTTCTTGGTAAGGCACACAGCTGGAAATTTGCATTTCGAAAACGTATAAATAGCAAGAGCTAGAAATTTCATATGTTTGCTAGAAATATGGGCCGGCCAAGTGGTATCTCGCTAACTGTGTTAATAATGATCATGAAGACGTGCATTCTCTTTATCGGTGAGACTTATCATACTTACACGGTGCGGGAAGCTGTCTTTGCTCTGGCTGTCCTGCACTGATCCGGTTGTCTGCAGTTTGTGAATCGCCGTTTTCACTGTGCACTCTTCTGAGAGACAGCATGGTCGTTTTCTCGAAGGTACCGCTTACTCTCTGATTAATTCGGCATGATCCTTGTCACTGTTTTCTCTACATAAGCTTGTACGGCACTCTGCTCATTACTTTGAGCAAATGCCTTCTTGAAACTAACCATGATCAAATTACTGTTCCTTCACAATGTTTTGTAGAAATTTGTTTTAACTGTGAGCAAGATTCTCCTCCGTTTTTTTCGCATCTCACGGCATGTCGACAGTGGTCAGTCTCATGTATCCTTCAAATCCTTCAATAATTCAGAAAAAAAATATTTATAACTAAGTAGCATGTTTGAGCGCATAGCACCAGACTCGGCAGAACGACACGTGGCCAAAATCTACACCTTAGTTACAAGAATGCTCGCGCGCAAAAAAACATTCCTTCCATCAAATTTTTTAATATAGTTTTATACATTTTTATATGTATTTTTTAATGTATATCATAATATCTCTAGCATTCTCATTTCTGCAAGTTTTTTTACTCAGAGAGTTGTGCAGATTGATCAGTATTTGGCATTTCAGTGCTTTATCAAGCAGTTCTGCTATTAGTGCAACCATATTTGCTGGATGTTCAATTGTACGGGCACAATCATTTGCTAGCATACTTGGCCGAGTACGCCATTTTAGCCAGTGAGTTATCTTCTCACGTAAACGGACTTGCACTGGAGCCACAGTAGCCGACCAAAAGCTGCCTGTGGCTACGACGTACATAAACATTTCTTATAGTTAGCGATGCTGCAATGAATTTGCAAAACAATGCATTTTCCAAATCTGCTGCGAATTGCTGCATCGCTCCTATTTTAGTTCGAACATGATAAAGTAAAGGTGCTAATTTCGGATACATAACAGCACAGTCTGTAGGGTCAGTTTTTCCTTCAGCGCTGCAAAACTTCTCCTTGGAATACTAACAATATCAGTGATATCCCTAATTATCTTATCATGAGGGAGGTGATTATCAAAACATTTGTCTGGTCCCACTGAGCTTAGTGTCACTGTGAGAAATTTTTGTAAAGGTAAAGATGATGAGGACTGTTGTTTTTAGTGTGTTGAGCGTACAGTAACGTTAGCATGCGCTCCAATTTTATAAAATTTTACATAAAATTACATAAAGCATGCTTACTTAATAATGCATTCTTGGCAACTTACCAGTCCTGTAACTTTTTAATTTGCCTAAGTAAGACTATGTATTTAGATGACAATTATGCTTCGTTTGTAATGATTGTCACCTCCATCAGCACTGATAAAAAATTACAAAAGTTTGAACTTAAGGAATAAAAGCCTGCATTATTTTCGCAACAAAGAAATATATGAAGTAAGTGACACCTAGTTCAAATGTAGATACACTTCAATAGATGGTAGAGTTCCCAGCACT